TAATTTGGTTTCTGGTACTACACTTGAAACTCCAGTAATGATAAGACGGGAACTAAAGCAGCAGCTGTCCCTCGGAAATGAGGGTCGCACCAGCCTCGTTCCCAGACTGAGGCGCAGTTGAGGATGCTTGTGTGTGGCATGCCCCTGCCACCCAGTACACACACCTGTCATTAGATGTCACTTTATGGCATCGTCACAGAGAACGACTGGGTTTTGGAGAGAGAATGTCATGATGTGACTTCATTTCCTTGGAGCACTGGGGTAGAGGCTTTTGGAGTAGAAGCTCTTGGACATTAAAGAGAAATCAGAAAGTTTAGCCTGACTGATACAGAGCTCATTATGAATTGACAAATCTCTCTTTAAAAAAGATAAATTTCCTGCCGTGGCTGCTGGCGCTACAGAAAGTCCTTTGTGAAAGCCCCAGCCTGATTTCACTATCAACCACTTAACCACGGTATTAATTTTTCAGTTGTTGAACTTTTAAGATTTTAAATTACTTTGAGTTTAAAAGTCTGTTGCTGAGCCAGAATAGTTTGTTAAGAAACATGCACCTTTGAGTACAACTGAGGTTCCTTGGTGTTGGAAAATGCCCTCCCCACTCCTCCAAAAATGGATTAAGAATGCTTCATGGTATTTTCCCATAGGAAATAATGTTACCAGTAAGTTCTGGACTTCAAAACATGATTTCTAAGAAGTTTGAAGATTCCGGGGGCACACTTTTGGAAAAAATTGCTTGTATACGACACATTGCATTATAAAAGTTTTGATTAGTGGGTTGTTTTTTTTTTTTAAACAAGTAAAGAGAAAGAAAACATGGACCTGCCTCGGAAGTCCCCTCTGCCTGAGTCTGCTGCTTGCAGGATTGGAGCTTTTGCTGCAGATTGCAGCTTTGGAGCTGCTTTACCTCGAGAGCACTTTATATTTTATTGTGCTTTAAAAAAAAAAAATTAGTGCCGGGTTTATGGAGTGAAGTACTTTCATAAATGCTGAAACTACCTTTTCTGTGGGTAAAAATGCACCTCATCAGAATTTCCCCTTTGAAGAATTTTTTATGTTCTCATAAAATTGCCAAGTTAAAAATTTGATCTTCCTACGGAGTAAGAGCTTTCATTTCAAATAAAGCCATTTTATTGACCAGGTATCAACATTTATGACAGTCAGACATATTGCAGATAGCAAAATAAAATATTTATGCTTGGTACTTACTTTCCTCATAAACTAGAAATGTCAACCTAAGCTATCTTTTTGATAGCTCGAATATGTTAGGATGGGAGGAATTGGGTTGAGTATCCAGGTAAGATTCTAGGAGTGAGGGTGGAGCAACGTGTGTTTGGAGATTTCTGTATCCCAAACCCCATGGGCTCCAGGCACACTTTTGGAAGACCATTCCAGTGGATCCCTTTGCCATCGTGGTGGCAAAGCAAACCGATGCTAAAGGAAATAAAAAACTTAATTCTCGTGCTGATCAGTGCCACTGTGGGGCTTCCAGACCCCATTCATTTGTTCTGGTGGATGTCATGTGGTGTGAGACTCACTAACATTAAATTAGTCATGAAGTTAAAGAGAGGCTTCCTCTATCCCCATAGAAGGTATTTTGTCACTTAAGAAATAATTGAACTTTATGTTGCACTGTATTAACAGATTAAAACTACCCTTTTAAAATCTAGAAATAGGGCTAAAGTAGTCAAAATAAGTGTTTTTGTCATGTAGTCTTCATAGCCATGTACTACTGTGTGCATACTAGCTAGGTTTTATTGCAGGATGTTTGCCATTACTTTTAGGTTTACAGATTCAAGAAATAACTATATTTGCTTCTCAAAAAAACACTGGCTTTAAAAAAAAAAAAAAAAGTGATAGGTGCTAGTTAGAGTAGCCCTCACAGATCAGTCTTTTTTGCAAAGTGAATTTATAGTATCTATTTCCATAATAACTTTTTAAAACGACACCTAAGTACAGTTGATAGCTATCTTAGTAATCTGTAGCTGTTGCCAATTCCAGTATATGCAATTCCAGTATAAGCCTAGTCTCTAAACCATTATCTTTGGTTAATACAACTCTCCTAACTCTGAAATGCTAAAGATAATGTCTCAGGGCTCCAGGGCATTGCCATGGTTTCTTACCTTTTGCCCACCAGGGTCTGGTTGGGAAACCATCTGCATCAGAGTTGCTTAGGGACTTGTAACAGTACAGCCTCCTATATCTCACATACACACATACACACACACACACACACACACACACAGACACACAACAGTACAGCCTCCTGTATCTCACATACACACACACACACACACACACACCCCCACACCCTCCATTTCTCCCTGCCAGAGTACAGCCTCCTATATCTCACATACACACATACACACACACACACACACACACACAGACACACAGACACACAACAGTACAGCCTCCTGTATCTCACACACACACACACACACACACACACACACCCCCTCCATTTCTCCCTGCCAGAGCTTAGGGATGTGTTTATATCCATGAATTTATTTAGGCTAATTAATGTTAACTACTGAACTTTTCTTTTTGTACAAGAAACAGGCCATTTGCTTATTTGCTTCTGCCAAAGCTAGCAGGGCATTTATCTCTCAAGATGAATAAGTTGAAATTGGCTGACTTGTTAAAAGCTCCTACCTGCTGGCTATGTTGAATATATTCACTAAGTGCTAGTTTTGATAGGTTGGCTTCTGACAGAGACTGCCCTTTGATGGTATTTGGTGGTGTTTGCAATTGCCAGCCCAAGCACAAGCCGTGGAAGCTTCTAAACCACAGACACAAGCCAAGATGTTAAAGAGAATCCAGTGGACTTTATTTACGAGTTGGGGGAGATTGATGGGGGGAGTTATTTTTGTTTTGTCTTATAAAAAGTATAAAATATGTCTCCTTGTCCCAAAGAAATTTAGCAGTTAGTTGAAATCAAGCGGTTAATCCACAAGAAGGTAAGCCCCGTGGGAGCAGGGCATGGCCTCTGTTGTTGCTATACCCAGAGCACCTCCTAGAACAATGTCAGGCATGTGAGTGTTTGTGTTTGTTGAGTGGATTTGTGAATATCATTGATGTATTAAGTATTGGGTAACTTGGCCTGCAATTTTTACCAGTCTGCCAACTTTATGAAACATCAATGTGTAGTTCACAGATATCCTTTTGATAATTGGTGTTTTCTTCACTTCTGACTCCGGGGTTGAAGGCAGTTTTCTCTGTCAGTCATGTGTAGAGGGAAACAGGTGGAGCTTGAAGTTCAGGAGAGGTGAGTGATGGTGTCTTGCTGGCTGACCGTTCACTTGTGTGTAAGGGTAGGCGCATCTCCTTTAGGAGGATTGCATGAGACCCTTGTGCAGTGGGTGCCCAAACAAAACACACTTTTCTTCTTCCCCTAAGGGTAAACTGACTTGTTAAAAGCTTCTAAATCAGGGAATGAACACTTAAAAAGAGTAGCTCTTTAAAGGGCGGTAAGCCCAGGGAAAGGAACTATGACATCAGCATCACCTGGTATCCCATCTACCCAGAGATTTTGTTTTCTCCCAGTTTAGTTCAAAAACTAATTTTAAGACTTTTTACAGATTTGTTAGAAACATTTGTGTGACACAGGTACAATCAAAGTAAATTTTGTATGATTGGCTGTATTCAGAGGCCATGCCTGACATCCTAAAAGTTTCCTGTTCATCAGCCTTCGTGCTTCTCCACCAGGGCTTCCTACAGCAGTTCCTCCCTTTGTGGGATTATTGTTAAATTCACTTGGGAAGGGGCTGGGGTCAGAGAAGATGAGGCAAGAGATTTTAGAGGAATTGGCAAAAACTCTTCAAAGTGTTCACTTTCAAGTGCTTTTATAGAGCTCTGAATCAGTGTCAGTTTTACCGGCCTTTTACAACAACAAAAAAAACAGGAAGTTATGTTCCTTATTATTGCAATATCCTATTATCATAGGTTTTTACATATTTTGTTCTGGTGAAAACGTAATACGTGTGTTTAATTGTGAGTATGGTGTGCCCGTTTTTACAGTAAGTTAGCATAAGTTACACGTGAATAGTGGTGGAAATCCAAGAATTTTATCTCGTTTCCTGTACACGTTACTGAACTGTTAGCCTCTGAGTGTAATGCTTTCCTGGTGGCACATGGAGAATATAATCTTCCTAATGCATAATGGGATCTTTTGACAACTCACATTTTTGTTCTCCTTCAATTTTGGCTGTCACATGGCTTTTAATGGTTTCATTAGTACACAGATGAATGTACTGGGTGTGAATGTTAGTGACAGCTTAATGAAAGGGCAGTCCTCCCTCTCTCTTCTCCTTTCAGAAATGCCTTTGCTCTTAGACCCAAAAACATTTTTTCTCTCCATGTGGTGTTTGCAGACTTGAGCTCATCTTGATTGGATGCATTAATATTGAGACAAAACATGCAATTATGCTTTCCTTTGGCCCTGGGGTAGCCCTTCTGAAGACAGCTGTCTGTATCATCGTACCTGCTTTCATAGAAACCAACTCATTCAGGTTTCTCGGGGTTTCGCTTATTTGACTTTGAATGGGACAGCCATTTCACCTCATATTTTTAGATAATGTTTGAAAGTTATATAGGAATTTTTACCTTGTAATAAGATCAGAATGATTATTTTACTGAAAAACTAAATTGTTCTGTTATAATCATGTTTCAAGCCTATTTCTTTGGCAGGATTTTCCATTTTCTTGTGAGTAGCTTCTTGAAATGGAAGTCTGTATGAATGGGTCGGAATGAATTCAGCAATTCTGAATCTCCAGTTTTGAAAAAGGAAATTTTATTCTATATCTTGTATTCTTTAACCAGAGTTATGTAGAAGACTGTGCCACTCTAACCTTTAATACATGGCTGTAGTTCTTGAAGTCAGGGAGCTCCCAGAAACGTGAAAGAGTGTGTGAGATGGGCTTGTCTTTGGAGACTTATCTTTGGAACTTTCCCAGTGATCCATGGACCACAGTGTGATTTTTGTTTTGTTTGTTCTGATGCAGCTTCCAGGAGGCAGGCTGAACCTGCAGATATGCGCCCGGAGATACGGATCGCCCAAGAGTTGCGGCGAATCGGAGACGAGTTTAACGCTTACTATGCAAGGAGGGTAATGATGTTTTCTTAACCCCCTTTTCTGCCCACGCCCTCCCCTTCCACACCGTATTTTTTAAAAAAGACAAAGTGACTTGTTATAACTACATGCTAATTCTGGAAATGAATACTGTTGCCTAGTTGTGACCTTTCATTGTTTCTCCTTTCCCATTTTTCATTTGTTTTATGATTGAATTTAAGTAATGGCACTTAAATAATACAGTAGGAGGCAGCAAAGGAATTTTATGAGCAGACTTTAAAACAATGCTAAAATAGGGATTATTTATAGACTTTGAGATAGTCTCACCTAAATATTATTAACATAGGTTTCAATCGATGTAGTGTGTTTCTGTACTCCCCTTGTGCGTTTTAGGTCAAAGTTAAAGGTAATTTTTAAACAACATCTTTTGTCACTTGGCGCATGGGAGCGATCCCAGCACTCATGTAAAAGGCTGTCATGCAATTTGCAGGGTGAACTGAGTAAGAGCATGGAGCCATTGCCCTTGCAGAGCCCATTGTTGTCTTTGGACATTTAATTGTTGAAATGTATTAGGAGGCCACTCATCAATAGCCTGTAATTTGACCTATAAAAACTTTATATTATGGATAATTGACTGCCACTTATTTTGAGCTTTGTTCTTGATTTTAAAAAAAATTTTAGCCTGTATCATCATCTGTAGTTAGTAGAAGCAGTGTTTTTTTGTTTGTTTTACCTGGGGGCAATACTGGTGACCATTTGGACACCTTTTTCACATGGGAGACTTTTGTTTGTTTTTGAGACGGAGTCTTGCTCTGTCACCAGGCTTAAGTGCAGTGGCGCAATCTCAGCTCACTGCAACCTCCGCCTCCCAGGTTCAAGCAATTTTCCTGCCTCAGCCTCTTGAGTAGCTGGGATTACAGGTGCCTGCAGCCACACCCAGCTAGTTTTGTATTTTTAGTTGAGACGGGGTTTCACCATGTTGGCCAGGATGGTCTCGATTTCCTGACTTCGTGATCTGCCTGCCTCGGCCTCCCAAAGTGCTGGGATTACAGGCCTGAGCCTCTGCGCCCGGCCACGTGGGGGAGGTTTTTAAATGTGTAGACCTTGACTCCAGGAGTTAGTACTGTTGAGAACACCTGTGACTGCTTCCGCTAAAGGGTGCACTAGCAAAAGTGTGATATAGGGTATTTACTTGTTCACAAAGTTTTAAACACCTCATATAAAGGTGTTAATTCAGTTGATTTATCCAAAAGGAAGACCCTAATTCTTATTTTGTGGAAAATGTTATAGTTGTTAATATCATTTATTCTTACCCCTTCTCTTCTAGCTCTATTTTTTTTTTCCTGGACGTTGTTTCATATAAGTACCTCTTAAAGTTTTTTTTTAATCTGTTTTCTCTTCTAGGGGAGGTCATGCTTAGTTCATTGTTGCCAAGTAAATGGATTTTACCTTTGAATTATTATTTTTCTGCCTTTATACAATGTTTTTTAGGCTTCTTTTAGACAAACAGACATTTTCCCATTACAAAGGACACTTTCAGTTCTTCAGTATGGAATTTCTGTAAGAGTCAAGGATGTTTTCAAACACACATCGGATCTTCCTACCTTTCTGTGGGGGTGTTTGAGGAGCGCGCTGTAGTGATGATTCTGTTGTGAAATGGGAAGTGTGACATTGATGGACTTAAGAATTTCTTAAAATACTGTCTTTAGTTGGCAGAACTCCTGGCATCCTCCACCTGACATAAGCCAGTTCACAGAACATACGTTCCTTTCCAGCCTAAATCTGAAATGTAGTTTTTTTGGAAGTCTGGTTGGTTTTATAACTTGTCACTGAAGTAACCATTCCCTCCAGTTCCTCTGCCTTGGTTTACCTAAAGAGATTTTGGTGTTCCTGTGTGTGACTGGACGTGGCTGTCTCTTGGTTGACTAGGAAGAACTGGTGAGAAGTGGGACCACAGTGGATTCAGGATGGAAGTGGGGAGGACATGAGTCCCTTTAAGAGGGTAGGTGAATACACTCAAGTCCTGATTCTGGGATTGTGTCCAGAATCCAACAGGATAGATCATTTCTGGTGGGTATGGAGACATCTCTGAACCTAGGCAGTGAACTGACCATCGCCTGGGCCTGTCTCCTTCCCATCTGGATGGGGCTTTGTAGACACTCTCGGGGCAGGATCTGCCCTAGGTGGGGCTGCCTGAGAGAGAACGGCGGCAGTAGGCCTTGCCTGGTGCCCACATGTCCCCCTGCTGCCAGGAGCTCTGGGTACTGAGATAAGCTCGCACATTCTCAAGGATTCTGTTAGAGATTTTGACTACAGAGCTGGATGTGTTCAAGGATATTATACAAGTTTCTCTTTAAACCATGCAATATGAATGCATGACTCCGCAAGGCTTTCCTGTGGGCCTGCCCAGATGCACCTGGTGAATGCACCTCCATGGCTGCCATGAGTGGTCAGTGACAAGACATGGGCTAAGGCTGGCGTGGGGACTGGAGTGCATCCCAGTCCCCAGCCATCCTCTTGTGAAGCTGTCAAGGTGGGAAGTAGTTTGAGTCACATGCAAATGAAACCTAGGCTGCTGGGTTGTCTTTGTTACCTTGCCTCTCTGTTGAGGATGTGATAGCAGCACCTTAACAGGTTCATAGCCTGCCTCCCCTCCTCTTCTCCCAATGTCATTTCACAGTTTAATGTTTAAGATGGTCATGTCTGTGTTTGCAGTAAGAAGCAACCTATTGTTCCCATGCTTTTGGTAAAAGAAATTTGTCTGATTGCAGTATTTACAAGGTTTTGTCATTGTGCATATTCTTTTGCATATCTTAAAAATATTAGTGCAAAAATACAGTCACAAATAATTAAAGGACTTTAGCTTTCTTAGTAGGCTGGGATATTGGGGGGCAGGAGTAGGGATAGATTCTAGGTTATAACGCAATTTTTCTAAAACAAAGATAAATATATTCAGATTTTATAAATAGCTCATAACACAAGGCCGGGCACGGTGGCTCACACCTGTAATCCCAGCACTTTGGGAGGCCGAGGTGGGTGGATCACCTGAGGTCAGGAGTTCAAGACCAGCCT